GGCTTCCAAGCAACTTGACAAGCATCCATTCATTCAAGAGAATTTGAACTATAAATATGTAAACATCTGTCTTCTTTGGACCATACTGGGCAATCAACGGATGGATTTGATGTTTCATTCTTGTTTGGAATATAGATTCTAAAGTAGTCAGGTGAGGTCTGTGAATCTTCTGCCAAACTTAGCTGGAACCTGAAATAGCATTATATGTTTGGACAATTGTCTTTCAGCCCTAGCTATGAAGAGCAGATTTCTCCAGGACTGAAACAAGAATGAAAGTTAAAAGAAGATAATTGTGCAACAAATTCACTTGTGAATAGGGAGACTAGAAAAGATGCAAGGAAATTTGAAATAAGCAGAGTATGAGGAGGACAGTTATTTAACTGCATAGATATTGCAGGAAGGGATCAATATAAAAGGAAGATGCTGAAACCTAGGTTTTAGAATAATTTTGGCACCTATTGAATTATTCTGTAAAATGATATTAAATGTCAGAAAGAATATTACTCCATGATTGTACTTAATACGAGTGCAACTTACATGAAAAAGAAATAAGATGAACGAACATGATTTAATAACTATAGCAAAATCTTGAGGAATGAAGCCTTTTTGAAGGAAAGGAACAGAAATAATATCTATATATCTACATCTACAAAATCTACATCTTTATCTACATATCTCATACAGTTGTTAGAGTCAACTATCATCTATCCAACCAAGGAGAAGATGCGGATAATGCATTTTCACCTGAATCAAGTATGCCATTACTTCCCCCATCATACTCATAGAGATTCTCACTGCAATTTACATTGTTCAAGGTATTGCAAAACATCTGGTTAACAAAAATGTTACAATGTCATCCTTTCAGTATTACATTAGCTGAGGCATTTCAAAATAAAAAGTAGGAAAAGTCCTCAAAGATAATCTTTGAGATCCAATTTTAAATATTCCTATTAGTTGTTTAGAGGGAAAAACAATTCAGACATGGTGTGTTCTAGCTCTTCTCAATGTTTCCAAACTAGCAAAAATGAAGTTGATTAAATTTCAACTTCAAGCACTTTTCAAGTGATTGAGGGGTAGTAAAAAGCTGTACCCAAGGAAATATCCTAATTGTGTAAGAAGATTGTTTAAACTGTTCACTAAGGAAAAGAAGTGCACTACTAGATTCATTTCTGCTATTAGGATTTGAATCCTGAATTTCTCTCAAATGAATACTCATATATTTGTATTTCAACTATAAATGCTATAAATTTCTTTTTTTAAAACAAATTTTATTCAGTTTTTCACATTAAAAACAAAAATCTCTTTTTAGTGGACAACATATTTCCGGGTCATCACCTTTACATACAAATATGACAGCAATTATACATTTATATATGCATACTTAATTCTATTATTACCTTTTCCGTTCCAAATTTTCAGTAAGGAGAGAAACAAACACATTAATTCTAGCCTCTTTCATTAATCTCAATCAAAACATCTTTTTGTTTCATTTCAATTATTTCAAATATAATCCTTTAATGTTTATTTTAAAAATAAAGATAAACAATATGTGTTTGCATGATGATGATGATGATGATGCTGATGATGATGATGATGATGTTACCAGTGTCTCTCCTTGCTTTTAATAGTCTATATTAACTTATTAATTTAGTTGGTTCTTTAGTCTGTCATATTCCCTTTCCATTACACATTCTTTTTATAAATTCTAGATTAATACAAATTTTAACACGAAAGAAAAAAAAATCAAGTATTGGTTTCCCCCATTTTATGCTTTGAGTGTGACACTTCAATGATTAAAATATGCCTTTATTCCCTCATCTTGACTCCCAATAAGCCATTATTTTTAAGAAGTTACAATAATAATCATTACATCTTTTCATTTGGATTCTGCAGCATATTTCCCCCCCTTAATTTTTAATAAGAGTTATCAGTATCTATATTACCCTATGTTCTAAATACTTTAAATATTTTTAATTGCAGATATATTCTTATTGCCCCTTGCTACCCTGCAGAATCCCCTTTTTAACTCATCAACCATTATCTCTGAAAAAACAATTTCTTTTCAACATTTTACTATTTCCGTATTTCTTTATTTCATGCACCTGTTTCTTACTGCTTCTCCTCCCCCTCTTTTCCCCATATCTTTTCTCATTCCAGTTCATATCCCTCTCTTTCTTAATATCTTCCTTTCCCCTTTACTGCTGGGTCTTTCTGCCTTTCCCGACTTCACAGGTATCCCCCTTTTAGATTGCCTTCTTAAATCTCAGCTTTTTAGCCTTCCTTCTTCCCCCACTTCTTTGTAGTGTTCTTTGTGTTAATTGTCTATTTAAGATGTCTTCTCCTTGAGTCGACTCCTCCTCCTCTGAAGCTCTTTCTTCTTGTTCTTCAATCGCCATTTCCATTTTTTCTAACACAGAGCAAAGTGATTCGCCTCTTTCCTGTAGTAATTCTCTCATATTTTTAAGTTCCATTTTTAATTCCTGAAGAGATATCATCATTACACACTCTTATATTTTATGATCGTTAAAGCCCACAAAAAAAAAAAAAACCCAAACACTTTTACTTTCCTTCTTTCTTCTTTCAATTTTCTAAAGTTCTCAATTATTCTAGCCCAGGGTCTATACCAAAAACATCAATCAATCCCACAGTCAGTCTTTCCTTGCTTTTTTCTTTATTCTGGTTCTGCTTTCACTTTCTAAGATTCTTATTTTGTTTCAATATTTCTTTAATGTTATATTCATACAAGTTCATTCAGAAACAGGATGTTTCCCCTTTTGTTTGAGCTCAAGTTTTTGTCAAAAGGTGGCACTCTCCATTATACAAAGTCTTCACCTTTTTCCCCTATTTTTTTATTCAGGGTTTTTCGAACCTCAATATTCCAGCACAGTCCAGTCTCCAATTTGTAAACTTTATTATTATTATTTTTTGACAATCTTAAGTCCAGCTTTATTTTATGCCTGTTTATTGCCAAAATATTTTAGTTCAATTTAGTTAAATCTTAGTTCTGGCTTCTTCCTTTCCCGGTTCGAAGCCCCGCTTAGCTGTCAAAAATATTTACTTATTTTTTTTTCCTGTCCCTTTTTAATTTTGCTGCTCTTAAAAATTCCATGTTACCTTAATCCCGGGGTACTTTTGTTTAGTTGTATTGCCCAGTTGTCCTGGTGTCCTGTTCTTCCCTCCTGCACAAATCTTAATCCAACTGAGTCATCCTCTTCAGGGTGGCCATTTTAAACCACCGCTGCAATTGTCTTCAGGGGGAAAAAGACCAAGCCCAGGGGGGGAGATGCGGCTTCCCTCAACCTGGCTTGCGGCTTCCCCTTACTCCACCACCCCTCCAAGGCAGCTTCAGCCCCTAATTGTAATGATCGGGGCTCTCCAATGAAAGAGCATGGACCATAGCCACAGAGAATTGCGATCTATGAGAAGGCTCTGCCTTCTCACTATAAATTTCTATAAACATAAATTTTAAACTATAATTTTCATTCTAGCCTTAATGGAATCTAGAGAAACAAATTGTTTCATCATTCAAAAATTGTAATTAGTCTGAAATATTTTATGAACATTTGGTTCTCAATCTGAAACCTAATTCAGTCATGTTAGCTTTCATTGCGCAGAGAGAGACTGATTTAGATGCCCTAGCTTTGGTTTGATATTAGTAACTAAGGTTCAAATTGTCACCAGGGACTTGACTTTGTAAGCCATTATGATCTACTTCAATTATTAAATTGATGGATAAATACTCTTTAAAAGTAGCAGATGATGAAGGAGAAAGATGCCCAAAGTTCATTTATTACTTGGCATACCAGTATTCACAGAATCGCTAGAGATTAGATATTATGCAGGGAGAGCATTCTACTTTCAGCAGTTTTTCTTCCCCCACAGTACAAGGGAAAGAAATGAAATAAACCACCCCTCTGTACATAGAAGTATGTCTCTTCTTCTTTTGCTCAGACATCCCTGTTCAAGTGACTCTTTGCTGATTCCCACAGGCCCAACCAACCAAATATCTGAAATATATCTGAAAATATAATGATGCATACTTTCACAGCCTCAAGCTTCCACAGCTAGCACCAATCCAATAACAATGAGCTTCTAGGCTAATAGGATACCACCACTGGATATCTGAAAAAAAACACCAAAGAACCTGCTTCAATTTTAGGTATATTTTAAAATGGAAAGTGGGGTGTGATGGCTCAGGGGTTAAAGACACTGAGCTTGTCAGTTTGAAAGTTGACATCCCAGGTTTGAGACCAACTGCCACATAACAGGATATGCTTCCGTTACTTGCCCCAGCTTCTGCCCACCTAGCAGTTTGAAAGCATGCAAATGTAAATAGATAAATATGACCATTTTGGTGGGAAAGTAGCAGCATTATGTATCCCTTATTGTATAGTCATGCTGGCTACATGACCATGCAAATATCAGCATACAACACTGGCTCACTCTGCTAAGAAATGGATATGAACACCACCCCTTAGAATCAAACACAACTGGACAGGGAAAAACCTTTACCTTTTTTAAAATGGATACAGAAGGATTCAAAAGACTGGTTATCTGGATGTGCCCTTAGTTTTCAGGGTTCTTACTGAATGAGCTATAATTGAAGTTGAGCTCTCATTCCATTTAAAAAGCTAAATAAGATTTCTCAGCAAATTTTTGTATCCTCCTTTCATTGAAATTTTTGAAAATTGAAGCGAGTGTGATAGAGGCAGTGTCAAGGCAGAGTTAAAGTTCCCTTCATTCTGCCACAATCTTAATCCAAGTATTTTTCCCACTCTATTGGCAGTCATGTTAAAATTTCAGCCAAACCACATTTCATTTTGAACTCATATAAATACTGACTGCATAAAAGTAGAACTGCCAACATGTATTTCAAGAATAAAATTCAAAACAAGTTATTGGGAGATTAGCATACAAGCATTCTGGTGAATGTTTATAATCTTGCTTCTGATAATATGTTTCCTGTCTGGAATTAACAACTGTCCTACTTTACTATTCAGGCATTGATCCTTGTTAACAACAAAATCAGCAAAATCAGTCCTGGAGCTTTTTCTCCACTCAAGAAACTGGAGAGACTTTATCTTTCCAAAAACAACTTGAAGGAACTTCCAGAAAACATGCCAAAAAGTTTGCAGGAACTGCGTGCACATGAAAATGATATTGTCAAATTAAAGAAATCTGCCTTCAGTGGACTGAATAATATGATTGTAATAGGTATGCACCACTACTTATAAATAAAAGTTTATAAGAGGAACTTATTAGCTGGTAAAATGGAAAATATTGTTGAAATTTGGTGAAATCCAAACTTCATTAGAGCTTCTTTATTGGATTATTAAGGTAAATTTCCAAAGAAAATTAAATTTAAAAAAGTATAAGTTCAGTATTTTAAAAAATGAATTTTTTTTCCTCGTTTATGAGATGTGTAGTATGGTTCATGCTGAGGTCATTAAATTCATGTTTATTTGCATCATACATTGAATTCTATTTTCAAGAGACATTTTGGGTTGCATTGGGATATAAATGTCAAGACTAACTCACTAAACATTTTTAAAGTATGTTCACAAGTACAACTTTTATCCAACCTCAATCTATCTTGGAAGAATCTTCTTTTTATCTAGCTTTTCTGCATTTGAAGCAACACTTTTCGTGGTCTCCTGAAACATTTACAATATATACGTTCCTTGATGAAGTTTGCTATTATGCACTCAGAGGCAGAGTTCTCCTCAGCTTCCATTGAACACATTTGGCTGCTACAGGCATACCCTTCTTTCCCAATTTCTGGCTTCTACTCTTCATGGCCAGTTGGGCAGAAAGTTGGCACTTTCTGCAGAGACTCATGTTTACATAATGCTTAAGCAGCACTCTGCAAGCTATCATTTAGACATTACACAACTTCTTTTTATACACACATATATATTAAAGTTCAAAAGCATTAAAGTATTTTTTTCAAATATATGACCTGTCATGTTTGAAAGAACAACATACCTGTGTTTAAATAAATAGAAAATCTTTTCTATACAAGAGATTGATATGGGTTTGCTTTATGTTGCAAATAGATTTATCCCAAATGTAACCATTACATATTTTAAGATGTTTCTGCCAATTTTATTTATTCCAGCCCTAGAGACAGGTCACAATGTTAGCAAAAGCACTTCCCCACTTTCAGTCAACTTTTCCATGCCACATGTTTAGGAAATCAACTTGAGAGAGTTTTTCTCACTGGTTAATGATGGTTGGAAAAGAAATCAGGAATCAACTAATCACAGTATTAAATTATCTGCCAAATGAAGAAACTGAGAAATGCACATTAACACAACTGCAAGGAAATGATATTTTATTTTGCTAGTAACATTTAAATGTTTAAGGTGATAGGTAAGAAAAAAAATTAAAGAGAATATTGCAGAAATAATATTATTTCCTTGCTTAATGTTTTTGTTTGCCACCTTCTATTATTACAAAGATCAAAATCTTTACAAATGTAGAAAAATGACATATTCAATTTAAAAAGAGAGGTGAATAAAAACCACAAAAACAATTGGCACGAAGTTCATAAAAGGAAGATCTGGATGAAGGATTGCATTTAACAGAAGCCTAATGATAACAACCATTGGTGCCTTCGATATATCCTAAGCATTTGGAGTGACTCCCAAAATTCAATTTGCAATCTTAGCAATCTACCTGGCTGGTAGCAGGAGGGAGCATGTGTCACTTCTCTTGGTTCCAAATTACTTAGGGCCCTAAATATTAAAATCAGCAGCTGATCTGGCTTGGTAGCTAATTGATAGATACTTCATACATTAGATCAATAAAACTATTTCACTTTTTAGTCTTGCCAATAAGCATTCTATTTGTTTTTAATTAATAACATTTCACATATTTAAAAATCAGAGAATACTGTCAGGTAAAGGACATTCCGATAGATGGCAGACAGATGCCTTTTATCCATTTCCTTCAAAATCAAGAATAATGTTATAGAGATAAAACAATTAACTGCATTGCTTTTCCTTATATATAGCAAAATTAACTAGAAAAGTTAGAATTAATATATAACTTGGTCATGATGATTCTATAACTAGTATACTGTTTGCTTGCTTTTTATTTTTTGCTAATGTATTTTAGAATTGGGCACCAATCCATTAAAAAGCTCGGGGATTGAAAATGGAGCCTTTCTAGGGATGAAGAAGCTGTCCTACATCCGTATTTCAGACACAAATATAACTTCTATTCCTAAAGGTAAAAATCTGTTTTTAGAGTATGTGAAACATCAGCATTCGAGAACTCTGTTGTTTATATTTTATTTTAAAATATATATAAAATATAAATATAAGGAATACATCATATGAGAAAATCTTAATGTTCTGAAATTAGGATAACTGCATTTTAATCTTAGTAATACCTTAAATTGGTATTTGGATATTTTTAATTCTCAACATAGCTTCTTTACAACTTCTCAGAATCTTTTCAGTATACACATTTCTAGTCTAACAGTGTATTTGTTATGAATATCTAAGTTGCAGGTCCAATTCCAAATGGAACAAAAGAAAAGAAAGTGGCTAAAATAGTTTTCAAGTCTTTCTTACAGAATCATTTATTATATAGATTTGTTACTGTAAGAGTCAAAATGTATAGCCTGTCTTTCAGCCTATTGGGAGAGGAATTATATTCCAATTTCATTCTCTCTACTTCAGCGATTCTTGCTAGCATATCTCAAGAAGCAGGACTGCAACAGTTCAATACACTGTACAAGTATATTATATAACCCGCATACACATTCAGATGTAGGAAACTAATCTGAATGTTTGTGGAAGAGTTGGAATAATACAAATACTTGTGAGCTAAATGGAAGCAAAGTACACTTTCAGCACATCAATCTCACATTCTTGTCCTTATATTATAGTATTCTGTTTTTAGTGTTTATCAAGATGATTTGTACTTCTGTAGCTCAATATGATGATTCCTCACTTGGTATATAAGACCTGACCTAGCAAACTAATTAAGGATTCTAGCAACTGAAACATTCTAAGATTGATGCAATACTTTCCAAAATTCACTCTTCTTAAACAATAGAAAGTATGGAAAAATCCTTTCTGAACAAGAGTGTACGTTAATTGCAGTAAAGACATGGTGAAGAGTTAATCCAAAAAACACTCATACTTCTGACTATAATTTTTCAAGATGTTTTAAATGGAAAAGGACATTGAATTTCAGTATGCCTTTCTTGTTGCATGACTGCATTATCATAAGAACTGGCAAATGAGCTTAACAGTAATTTGTATGTAAGAAATCTAGAGTGACTCAGTGCCAACAGTAAAAAAATAAATGCTGTTAATTAAAGTGCAAAAATGTGTTTCATCAGTGTCACATGATATATAAATTCAAAAAGTAATGTTCCTAGAATTTTGCAATTGTATGCAACATATATACATAAACACATTTTTTAAAAATTTTAGGTCTTCCTATATCTCTGACAGAACTTCATCTTGATGGCAACAAAATCAGCAAAATTGATGCAGATAGTTTAAGTGACCTTCCCAATTTGGCTAAGTATGATTTATATATATATATATATATTAATATATTAAGGCAGATCTCACTTTGTAACAGTGAGATCTTTTGGTTTTGATCATGCCTAACACGTTTGCAAAGAAAATTAAAACTATAGAAGAATATCAATATTAAAGCTACTATAGAAAACATACATTTTAAAATACTAGTTTTAATTAGTTATATTAACTAGTTTTTCACATTAACTAGTTTGTCTAATCTTGATCAGTTATCCTTCATTATTTTAATATCAAGGTAGGTTAAAATTCAATAACGAAATACTTTAAAAACTGATGTGAGTTAGAAAAGATTTAAGGAGTAAAATTTCAGATGATTAGACTATATGCTTGAATATGTAAAAACAGAATGGCCCCAAAATATGGGTCTTAAATGATGCTATGGAGGTTTCTGTAAGATTTGAAAAGCTTTCTTTATCTATTACAATTTCCATCCAACAACAGTCAAACTATTATGTTTATGCCTACTCTGGGGTCATACAAGCCTTAGCCACAAATTGCATGAAGGCAAAGATTCAGCATGTCACCACCAATAGCAAATGCCACCTCTGTAATGAAAAAGATGAAACAGCTGACCATTTAATCAGTGGGTGCAGAAACATTTCACAAACTGACTACCTAGAACACCATAACCAAGTTGCTAAAATCATTCACTGGAAACTGTGCCAAAGGTTTGGATTTGAGTAACTGGGAACATCAGGTTGAGAAGGTTCTGGAGAATGAAAAAGTCAAGATCTTGTGGCACTTCAGAATTCAGACTGACAGGCACTTGGCCCACAACACACCTGACATAACAATAGTTGAAAAGAAAAAAGTTTGGTTCATTGACATTGCAATACCTGGTAATGCACGAATTGAAGACGCACAGCAAGAAAAAAATCATGAAGTATTGGGACTTACAAATTGAAATTGAGTGACTTTGGAAAAAGAAATTGTGTGTTATCCCAATTGTAATTGGAGCCCTTGGAGCAATACCTAAAGGGCTACTTAGCTATTTGGAAATTCTGAATTTATCAGACTTGAATACCCTGATTCTATACAGCTTATATCCTCCAATGCTACCTTAACAGTTCCCAGGCCCTTGGTTAGGACTTGAGCTGTTGAGCTACTAACCAGCCCCAAAGGCTGTGAATCTCACTAAAGAATTATTATTATTATTATTATTATTATTATTATTATTATTATTATTATTATTAACTCTATACAAGCATCTGGTTTCTGTGAAATTGCACATCCAGCTTGAAGCATAGTTAAAAATGCATAGAATACAAATGAAATCACAAGAAATCAAGATGTTAAATTATGTTTAATGAACATACAGAAACAAACTTTTACTTCAGCATAGTTGGCACAATGTTTTTCTCCTTATAGGCTTGGCCTCAGTTACAATCGCATTGCTAGTGTGGAAAATGGATCTTTAACCAATGTGCCACATTTGAGAGAATTCCATTTAGATAACAATGATTTGGTCAAAGTACCTGCTGGACTAGGAGAACACAAATACATACAGGTAAAGTATATCCTAAGGAGAATAATTAGAAATAATAATTAGAAAATTAAACTCACAGATAAAATGCACTATATTGGAGAGGTGTCTTGACCTGAAAAGGACATGTGCAGAAAAATGCTGCATTTTGGCTTCAGAATGATAGCCTCAGTAATTGCCATTTTAATAACATGATCATCCATGTGTTGATAGAAAGCAATGGTCTGAAGATGGTAAATACTGTACAGCAGCAAACCTGAAAGAAAGTTAGCCTGGGTTCATGATAAGTATCTAGATGAGAATTTACGCAAGAACCTTAACCCCAGAGATTATAATAAACATACAATAATATTAACGTAATGTATTTATAAAAATAATGTAAAATAGTAATTTCCTGAATACAAAACATGACAGCACTTTGCAAACTATAAATATTTCCTAATTTAGTAACTTTTTAAATTTAATTATGCAGGGAAACCTTGGCAATTTTGTACAAATATATGGAAGTGATAGACGACAGCACAATAAGGCACTGAAATTTCCTTGTTATCCCATAGAAATAAACTGATTGCATGTGTTTATGGGTTTGTAATGAGAATGGATAAAGTTGGAAAGTATTTTGACTCAAACATTTAGATATTCTTATATATTATTTTTGCCTTATTACAATTGACTACAACAAAACAGTTTTACTTCTGTTTTTGATTTTTAGGTTGTCTACCTTCACAACAACAATATTGCTGCCATTGGCCCTAATGATTTCTGTCCTGTTGGATACAATAGCAAAAAAGCTGCCTATTCAGGAGTAAGCCTGTTTAGTAACCCCGTGCAATTCTGGGAAATTCAGCCATCTGCTTTCCGATGCATCTATGAACGATCTGTAATACAACTTGGAAACTACAAATAAATGCACAAAAGTGTTTCCACTTAAATACCTGTTGCTTTTTAAAATTTCTGGTAAATATTAAAGCCTGATATTGGAGACTTAATTGCAGAGTGAAGATTATTGTATTTGTAAAAGACCCATTAGATAATTTCCAGAAGAAAATAAGTAAATTTACTTTGTTTTTGTTTTGCTTCATCAACAACACATGATATAGCTTGTGGTATCTCTCCCTTAGGTCATCATAACAGATTTTTTTTTTCAATATTCTACTGTGCATGAGATTTGAGGGTAAATATTGATCAAGCATTTCATAATTAGAAATAGTACAAAGCACATTTTTACTCTACAGCCACACACAAGAAGTATTTGGAGGACAAAATAATGAGACATACTTTTTATTTAAAAAATTAATCAATCAAGTCTTAATAAACTCTCACCTGTTTAAAAATTAAATGATAAGTGCAGGTATCAAAATATCAGATATTCAGAAAAGCAATATAGAAAGGTTGCTTTTGTTAATATTTTTGGTTAAAATGCTATTTTAATATATACCTCTTTTCTTTTCTATGATTTTATGTTTAGATCTTCCCAGATAATTTATGTACAATTAGGAAAATATTCTACAGGCTCAAAATATGTTCATGACCCTGGCTTTTTCTAGAATATGTCAGCAATAGCTACTGACACTTTTATTTGTGTCTCCATGGAATGGAGATGCTGGTGCCTCACCCATCTTGTAATGAAAGTCACCAGGAACGGTCACTATGTAATTGAATTTACAATGAACATTAGGTAATCTTGCCTTTATCATTTAGCATCAGGGAAAGGACTTGGAGCTATGTCCACAAATTCCTCCTTCATTCTCCAATTCTCCATTGTCATCCATACCTTCTAGGCAACAAAACTAATGCTTTCAAAGTGCAATTTATTTCTCCTTATTCACACGACTGCTCTTGTTCATAATATGACAAAAATATTCAAATAGAATTCTCATTAACTTGAGCATCTTTGAGAAATATCTGTGTGGATTAAGTCTGCAAGCATGTATAAATTAAGCAACATTGGCCTACTACATTAATGAATTGCTCTTAAATGCAGTGGCCATTCACCCGCTTCAACTAATTTGAATTTTAATACTGTTTTCAAATGTAATGTAAAGAAATATTCAGATTATTGGTCAGTAATACCTAGACTTACAAGAGATCATCATGGCCAGAAAAACATTATCTAGATAATGAAAACAATGTTTACTTTTACATCATTATAACTGGTTTATGTAATAGCAAGAATATCCAAAATGGCTGTACATTTCTGGAACCTTATCTCCAAATTTAACTGCATTTCTTTCAACATGATACATTAAAGAAAAGTTTGGATACCTCTTAATTGTTCAAAATACAGTATTTTCAATGTATGTATATTTTATATTAAACAGTACTGGCAAATTCCAAGATCCTGGTGTGTGTTATATAGGCTCTGCCATCTAAAGCAGCAGGAATGAACCTATTGCAAAGGTACAGATTAATCATTTCTAGTGCTATTCAAAGCAGTTAAATAGTTATCATATAGCCTGGATATAGATTTTCATAAAATAAAATAGCTAAAGTTAAAACCTGGATTGTCACATATCCTAATAAATATAGAATTTCCTGAAAAATATAGATTTTTTTTCTTTTAACAACCATGTAATTCCTTGCATTAGAGTGGAGTTGGGGAAACTCAATGGAGCTGAACATTTACTGGCTACCTTCCCTTCACAGCAGATATTATCTCTTTGTGCCCAGAGAAAAAAAATATCTGTACTAGGATCAAACTCACAGCTTTCTGATTGTGAGCCGAGAGCTCCACTTCAAGGCCACCACAGTGCTATTTATGAAAAAATATAGAAGATGCAATATTAAAAAAAATCCTCCCTTTTTATGACTCTGTAATCCCCTAATTTGGAGACAATACCAGTAGTATGATAAGAAATATTATGTGACTTTTACCAAATATTTATTGACATTTCAATAATAATAAAAGATAAAAGGTTTCCCTGTGCAGTTGTGTCTGACTTTTAGAGCACAGTACTTATCTTCATTTTCTTGGATGAGGGAGCCAATGTTGTCCAAAGATAAAATAATAATAATAATATTTAAACAGAAATATTTTTAAAAGACTCACACTATCAACAACAAATATTATTTCAATTAAGATTTTGATCATACCAAAGTAAAACTATATCCAGCCTATGTTCTGTGTCAGTCTTCTCCAATATGATATCCTCTACTATGTTGAAGTCCAGCTTCTATAATTGTGTCACCTGAATATTTATGTGAATTCAAAGTTAACATATCTGATAGGATTTGGTTGGAGTAACTTATTCTACACCTTCCACGCATTAAATCAGCTAAAATTCTCATCCTTCCTGATTAAAATCTTCTGGAAGTCATAAAAAAAAAATCACAAAACGCAAAACTGCAATTAGTTTTGTTCTGGATTCTGAAGGAAGAACATTGTGAATGGAATAAAATATTTGTATTTTCATAATTTTCCTCATGACTTTTTCCCAAATAAAATTATTGCTTTATGTATTGGTAATTGGAAAAATGCATGCTTGGACATTCCATCACCATTAGTGTTAGCGGATTTGTTTATGAAAATTTCAAAAAGAGTTTGATAATGCAATTATCGAATTTATCTCTGAGCTATTTAAAACAGCTATGTTATATTGGGGAGTCTATGATTCTATTACCAAAACAACTTTGGAGGAAATTATTCTTTAGGAGAGATATTAAAACAGATAATGGGAATACTTTGTGCTTTTATGCAGGGGTGGGTTTCTGCCAGTTCTGTCCATCTCTGTAGAACTGGTAGCTCTGAAGAATAGCAGATATAGAACTGGTTCTATGTCTGCTGATGTTTTTGCTCACCCGCCCACCCAGGCTCTTACCTGATCTTTATTTCCTGATTTTTCAACTTCAGCTGAGGCACAGCTGCAGTTAAAAAAACAAGAAAAGAGGGCTGTTTCAAAGGCTGCTTCTCCACACCCAGCATGTTAATGACAGGCTCACGGCTCACAACAGGCAGGGAAGGTCGTAAATCCCGAACCGGTAGTTAACCCTGTTGTATCCCACCCCTGCTTTTATGGTCTGCATACAAACATACATGCAGGTGAACATGCATAGAGAGAGAGAAAGAGACAGAGAAAGAGACAGAGATACACACAAGTTTATTCTTAAAATTAATAGCATGATAGTAGTGCCTCTAGGAAAGAGCCATTAAATTTCTCTCTTCTGATACATATTTCTAACTCTGAAACTGAGATATTTACAAATGAAGGAAAATATGTGTGTCCCAGAATAATTGCAGGATCCCAGAAGATTGTAGATCCAATTGGGTCAGTCACCTGGACCAGAGGTTTGGTCTTCTGAGCTCTGAGACTTGTGCTGGAGCCCATCCTCAGGGAGCTTCTCTTTAATAAGCCAATATTTAATGCAATTTATGGTTGTTCATTCTCCAATTTCTTTTTGAATAGGACATAAATGTAAACAAAAAGAATTAATATTTTGTCCAAGAAAAGTAGCCAAGATCATAAAAAACTTGGCAGAAATAGAAAAACCAAACTTTAGATAAAGAAGCCAAATAATGTGAGTAAATTGAAAATTCTTACAAAATTAAGTTGATCAAACTAGGATTGGGATTTTGAGAACTCAAGAGTTGAAAAATGTGATACTATAGGACAGATGGATTTATCTTTAATCCTCATAGCCCTTAATTCCTTGTCCAAGTACCTTCATGAAAGCCAAGTAGTTAACCAATAAGTGTGATAGTGGCCTCTAGTGATCAGACATTTTTCTTACATGCTTTTTGAACTAAAAGAAAAATGTGATGTCATAAAGCTACACAGCATGTGAATAATATCCTATTGACAGATATTCTGTTCTTCAGAGAATTGTTAATTCAGAATGTTGTAGTTGATTGTTATCTATTTGCTTTTAAAAATGAACTGCTTCTCAAAACTAATTATCTCTCTGTTAATAAGACAGGATTATAATTTTCTCATTAGATGAGGCTTGTATACACTTTTATAAAAGTTTGCTACATCTCCAGAAACTGTTGATAAACCTGATTACATCATTAATATTTTATACAATTTCACAATAGAATTTCTTTATATCTAACCCTCACAAAAAAACAAATATATATGTATTCATATATGTATATGTATATACGTATATATGTATTCACAACTATGTTTTTACTTATACCTATTATCTTGTAAGCAATTGACAAACCAAATAAAATAAATAAATAAAATATATATCTATCTATATATCCACACCTACATCTATCTATGTATCTATCTACGGGTCTGTTTGTTCATACTGAACAAAGCTATTAATGCATGATTCGACAATGCTTTTGTTTAGCAACTGGCTTTTTTGCAGATTGGGTTTTAGAGGGAGTACTGCTACAAGGTTGACCAGATGGTTATGGCAGGACTAGAACTTGGATCTCCTTCCTCATAGTGCAGGATGTCAATCACTATACCACATGGGCTTTCTCATTAAATGATCATAAATCACATATTAATCTGGGCTGGGTGAACAATGACAATTAGTACCTTGTATAATCCTCTTGTCAAAACAGCTATCAAAATCTTGGCATCAGCCTATAGCAAAGGAGTTGAATGGTATCTTACACAAGGGGTTCCTACCTGCTTTTAAAATTATCATCATAAAGGCTTCATAATTTGAAAATAAATTTCTATTTTTCTAGTTGGCAGTCCTTGAAAAGTGAATAAATGGAAAAGCAGTGTGAATTTGGAGTTGAGAAACTAACACAAAAATTGGATTCATTGGCTTGAGAAGAATGACCAAAGTTTCAGTTAATCCAATGATAAATCTCCCAATTCCACTTGGTCCCACCTCCCATCTGCTTGATGTCTCATTCCATACATGAGAAATGAGTTTCAGTATTGACTTCCAAAAGTACAATATTTTACTGCAACTTTGTCAGCCTCAGCAAACTAAATTATTGCATAATTTAAACCATCTTCATAATTTACATAGGGTGATAAAATGAAAAATTATGTATGTGATCATGACACACAAGCCATTACATAATCAGAGAAAAAATTGACAATTTTTTCATCCTTCTTTAATTATTGATTCAATAACTTTTTCAAATACATCTGGCAACACTCTAGCTCCAAGGTGGATTCAGTCAAGCCAGCTTCAGATCACAGAATTGTCTCCATAACTAATAACATTATATTGTGTTTTATTTCATCAGTATATTTATAACTCGTGTATAATTTTTCAAATAATTTATAAATTATACTAACATATATTTTATACTTTTCTTGTTCTTCCATTCCATGTACTATTTCAGCCTCTAATTTACACTTTCTTATTTTTTCTTTAATCTCTTTAATTGCTAGCAAAATAATTTATTTCACATTGGATGTTACATGGGCTGTTGCCTTCTGGCCCAGCTGAAGTTTCTAAATAGTATTTAAAGGGAGCTTCATGAGGAGATGTGGAACAGATGTGGTCAAACTAGATGGTAAAGGTTATAGTCACAATGGGTGTAGGAAGGAACTGGTGAAAGGTCCCTCTAACTATAGTTTCCACCTGATGTTTGAGTATCATCCATTTATGCATCCCAAATTGCAAAGCTCACAGATAATTGAAAGCTCACAGATAATTGAAATCTGTCTAAATAAAACATTGGTGTCAACAGAAAATCTGGATGAACAAACCACAATTCCAATTTATTTGGTTTAATTCCAATCTTTTCTCTCCCATCCACAACCAGTCTTCAAGTTCCTTGGAATAGGAGATAGATATCATCTCTCTATAGCACAGGGTATAAATGTAAAATTGAGTATAATGAATCCATTCATGAAACCACATATTATATTGGAGACAAGACTGAACCTTGTAGCGTCAGTCAGGGGCTTCAAGACCAATGTTTCACCCTTTGCCACTACAATTTGAAGTGTTCTGTTGAAAAAATAGTTCACCTTTTCTCCAGTCATTGTAGACAGTCCTGATAATGATATCAAAAGGAAATCCCAAGCTAGACAATGTGCTGAGTTCTCCTCATGAAGTGTTCTCTTCTGTAACAAACTAACACAAAACACAAAATCCATTGTATACAGGCTAACTGATGCAGGCTTAGCATCAGGATGTCCTTCAGAAAAAATCCCAGAAAGAGTGAAAAAGTTCACACAAACCAGGTTAGATAAAACTTCTAAATAGGGTTTTAAATATTGGCTTCCATGGCAACCTTTGGAACTGTAAGCCAAAATACATAATTATTTAAAAGAACTTATAGTTCTCATTTATAGTGAGACGTAAAATAATAAGATGATGACAGCACTAATCTTCCTCCTCCTCCTCCTCCTCCTCCTCCTCCTCCTCCTCCTCCTCCTCTTCCTCCTCCCCCTCCCCCTCCTCCTCT